TTGGTCCAAGCATTTAAAGATGTGGGACCTAAGGTGCCGGTCGTCGTTACGTGGGGGATGATAAATAATTCCTAGTAGAATAGAGTTAATTCCTCTGGGTAACCGATCAGTTTTTAACACGAACCATTGGCTTTCAACTTCCGGATCGCCCAAGTCGCATACTTCAAGGACGTAAAGGTTAGCACGTATAAAGGTACAAATTCCGCCCCCACGTAAGTCATTATTCCTGTCTTTTCGGTATGTTACATATCCAGGTTGAGATATAAAATTGTTAGTTACATTTGAATTCAACCATGATTCGGTAATAACTATGATATCATATGAGTTAAGCGAGATTAGAGTAGAAATCTCGTCGATCTTGTTTATCATGGACGCGTGTATTAACATCCTATAAACTCAAGATTCGAGCTACATAAAACAAACTAACAAAATTCAAGGTTGTTATTAGCCTCCTCCGCAGGCATCTCACCCGACGATCGGGTGGTGGGAGAAATTTTTTTTTCAAAACCCATTCGTAGGCTAGAACCCATAGAGAGGCCTGCGGAGGAGGCTAGGTTGTTATCTTGTTTTTAATAGCTCGAATCTTGAGTTTCCAAGATGTTAATATTCGGAGGTGTTTCATCTTAAGCTAGTAAAATTTGCTTGATAAAAAGTGTAAGCTACAGATTATGTACTATTTAAAACACGAGTAGGAGTGTTTTATCAGATATAAAACGCGAGGTGCAGCCGAGCGTTTTATATCTGATAAAACACGACAACGAGTGTTTTGAATAGCTTAAAATACAACTACAAAAGAATACTAATTAGGATGAACCATTATATAATCATGCTAATTAGGATGAACAATTATATAATGCCACATGTGTTTTATCAGATATAAAGTCACTTCACGTGACATATTATGGCTGACATGACTTGCCACAAGGTTTATGAATTATTAATGAGTATTTTAAAAATAATGTAATTCTATGATGTAATTATAATTTGGTATCTTTATTAGATGATGGAGATATGGATGTTGTTGTTTGCAATAACGTTGGCCCGGCAGAAATATACGAAAATCTGGGTGGAAACGAAGTTAACTTTTGGATCAAGGTTAAAGTTATGCATAGGTGGGCGCAACTGTTGTTTGACTACCGGGTGTCCCCCCAAAAAACTCGACACTGTTTTATTTCATGTAACGTAAGAGCTATAAAAGCTATCTCAATGAAATAACGATCATTGCATTCAGAAAGGACTAATTTAGATTTTGATATTTTGCACTTGAATTTACATGCAATATTAACTGTGCTATTGATGTTTGAAACGTTGAACTACTGTTTCTGAAAATGTCAAAAATTAGCACAAAACAACCTTATTATTGCTGATGTAGTTATACTTCGGCTAAATAATAAATATTTTTATTTTGGTTGTATCTCGCTCAATATTGCATGTAAATTCAAGTGTTACTGTATACATAAAAATCTAAGTTAGTCCTTGCTGAATGCAATGTTTATGTCGTTGCGATAGCTTTTATAGCTTTTACGTTACAAGAAATCAAAGAGTGTTCAGTTTTATTTTGGACACCCGGTAGTTTTTAGTTCATAGTTGTACATAAGGAAACAGATTGAAATAGGAACTGAAACAAGATGTGACTACAGGAATTGAATTTGAGTTGCAGAGGAGCTAGAGGCGAAAGACACCAATTACGAACCATTTCACTACAGACATCCCATATTTATTACTAAATTGACCGATTGATATCTCATTCCAACTTGCATAGGTGCAAACAAGAGCCTCGATTGCTTTGTGATAGCCTGGGGGCAAGAGTCCAAGTGAAGCAAGAAGACACTGGCTTGAACCAGGTATAATCATATCAAAACCTGTAAGGTCCTGTCACTCCTGTGTAACTCATAGTATTCTTTCGTCAGGACTTCCTGACAAAAGGACTTCACTCGACTTTACAGGTTTGATGTTTGAAGCTTTCTAACTAATGTCTAATACATTTGTCTTGAATTAGACTCAAGAAATTGGTTCCAGTACACATTTCCTCGCGCAAAGTGAAACAACAGCGCATTTTGGACTTGGCTCTAGCGCGAACAACGTCACGGTGCACGTGACCTGGCCAACTACAGGATCACAACTTTATATTTACAACGTTCCTGTTAACACGAGATTGCAAATTGTACAACCCGAAAGGTAATTTGTAGTTAACTAATGCGTATACTTCGTTGCACGTCACGGTATATAATATTTATATGGTACATTACTTACTATCATGGCTTTTAGAATCGCGCAGAATTGTAATCCTATTGTGCGCGAAAGGGTTACGAATTAGGATAGTGATTGGGCCCAAATCAAAGAGAATTATTACCGGTTTTTGCTGTCATATAAAATTGGGCGATGTAAAAATAGAAACTGAACCCATTGGGTAGCAGTTCCTTCAGTTCTGGTAATTACTGGTTTTTGCTCTCATAAAATTGGGCGATGTAAAAATATAAACTGAACCCATTACATAGCCGTTCTGTCAGTTCTGGCAATTAGTTACACCAGTATAACTATGTCTATCAGGACATGATGATCTGGAAACTGAACATATGTCATCGTATTATGATTTTGTCTGAGTTTGCGTCGATTTGTCCAGGGTTAACGGTGATTGAGCTCGTTGTATTTTCGTACAATGAAGTAGTCGTCCAATAATGATAGCTGAGGTGCAACCACGATGAATAATATTTAATGAAGTAGTGAGACAAAGGATTTGTGCACGTTGAGGAATAGCGACATCAAAAGTCATCTATTTTGTCGGCGTTGAAGTTTACCGGACTTTCCAGCCCATCATATCTATGACTCAACGATCTTCCTTCAAAAGGTTCGTTACCTACCTCTATCAACTTCTAAAGAACGAGTCATAAACACTGACCATGCAGTTTTGTTCCGGAAAACCAGTCACAAATCGTGTTCATATTAGCTAGGTACTTGCCGAAAACGAAATGAAATGTTTCTCTTGATTTTCACAGTAACACTAAACGTACGGAGTATTTGTCGCTGGAAATTTGTCCTACGTTGAAAGTTACCGAAATTATAAAGCAGGTAAAACCACAATCTTATAGTCCGCATTTTTGTTCAGGATTTCGATAGCAGACATAACATGTCCTGCCTTGCCATTGTCATGAGAGTTATCCAAAGCATGCATAAACCACAGAGGTGGTGGAATATTGATGCCGACGACACACACCCATTGTGCGTTCTCGCTCGGAGGTTGCAAGTTTTGACCTTCCAAATACAGTATTCTTTCATGGTCATAGAAACTTACCGTCATTCCTTGTGGTGATTAACGAGTTGACTAAATCCAAAACATCCACTCTAAAATATTAAAAATGCATGTTCAGTAATAGGCAATTCCCATTATAGACATAGCGAACATACTAAAATGAGTAAAATTGCAAAATTTGTTTGCGAAATGTTGACATGTTGTACAATGAAGAAAATATAGCCCTTGCAAAGTTTGCAAATTTTGTACACTTTTGTATTGCGTCCGGAAATCGCTACCACATTTGGGCCGAATTGAAAATGGTAGCAATTTCCGCACGCAATACATGCATGCATGGTATTGGTATTGAAAAATCTCAGTCTGTCAGCTCATCGGACACATTGTGCTTTGAGTCAAGGTTCGAGGCTATATTTTCAAGGCTATATTTTGAACGCTATAAACTTTGCAAGGCTATATTTTCCTCATTTTACAGCATTTCGCAAACAAACTTTGCAATTTTACTCATTTTAGTGTGCTCTTTCTAGATGTGGTGATTTATTTGCATTTCCTTGCCTAGTTTTAGAATTTGTCTATAATGGAAATTGTCTATTAATCAGACGTTTAATGTTTCGGTCTAACCATAGTTTAAGTTAAATTGATTTCTATCATGCCTCCCTCGACATTAACTCAATTTTGATTCCACTGTTTTCCCCTTCACTTCTTTCTTACAGCCCAAACAAGGCAAAATTGAGATAAATTCAGATGACCAGACGGCACGTTATTATATAAAGAACCCAACGAAGCAATTGTCGCCCAACTCCAAAGAGACATTTGAAGATATGGAACTTCAGGAATTTTCTTATAGAGTTCAAATATTCCCAAACGACAGTAATTCTGCGAGTGTAGTTAACTCAGCGATGATTTATTTCGTGGAGGAACAGGATTGTCATAACGGGAAACCGGTTGAATATAAAGAACTAAAACCTACTGATGAAAGGTTTGTCATGAACAAGCGACTCATTTGGCCGTTCCGGCAATTGCAAACTATGCAGGGATGTTGGTGGACTTGGTCTACGACCGGGGCCGGTTGTTCAGGTTGGGTTAAGCTGGTTAGTTTACCACCAGCTTAACCTAAATTTAGAACCGAACTTCCCAACGGCTTGTTTATAAATTTGGAAACATTTCTTCAGAAATCTTGTCTGGATCAATAGGTGTTTTCTCTTCTGGAGTTTTGAAATAAACGGACGTGTAGAGGTAGTCAAAGTAGCAGGTTAAATTTTAACCCAGGATTAGCGTTAATCCAGCTTTGAACAACCGGCCCCCGATCTTTCACATGAGAAAAGAGTGATCCAGTTTGACTCTATCAAAAACCACATGCTCGATACTCCGGTTTACTCCCGTAAGCAACATTGGACCAACACTAAATTACCCCAGGTATCCAGCATAAAGTGAATTTTGCAGTTTACGGCAGCGAGATATAAATAATATGAGATTTAAATAACATGAGATATAGGCTTCGCTCGTGCAGACCATACCAACATTTTCCAATTTTGTTGGTCCGGTGTTAGGTGAAACTTTGAACAAACTCAAATCTGATCCAACATCCGTTACAACATCAGACAATAATACCAAACCTAATGTAGGCTCAACAATGTTGCATGACCCGTTATAAGGATGACGCTTTCAGTATACTGACCAGAGATGACGATAGCTATCTACAATAAGAGTATCTCCGCCCTGGTGGGAGATGAAGCCAACCTTGGAGTGTAGAAGAAGCTAAGCATTACGAGCTTAGATCACCCCTAGCTGATGAAAACACTAGATTGGAGTGTCGAAATATTGTTTGTAAACACTTTGGGGGGGGGGGGGGGAGGATTACATTAATTTACTTTAAGATTATGAACACTACATTGTTGAACATGGTCTACCAATAGCATATTATTACCCTTTGCAATTTTACATGATGCGCTCTCGGTAATTTTTTAAATTTACGTTCGTACTTCTTAATTTTCAGGAGATACGATGGCATATCGAACAACAAGCAACACCTAATGTGGGGCGCAGTGCGCGAAAACCTACGTCGCCGTTCGTCGCCGGCCTATTCCGACGGTATAGCCACTCCTGCTAGTGTCTGCGTTGCTAAGCAACGAAATAACAATACTTGCGCCTACAAGCAAGAATACAGCGGTTACGGATCAACGAGACCCTCTCCTCGTGAAATAAGCAACGTACTGTTTCGACAAACCAAGTCGATTATTAGTGAACGAAAAATAAACGATTTTCATGTTCATTTTGGTCAAGTAAGTGCAATTAAAGCATGCATTATCATATGGCACGCATACGTACATGGCTGTGGCCCGCCCCGCGCACAATTATAAACGAGCATTACAATGTGTTCTACATGAAAAAATTAGATTTAGACTGCTTGGCATAACAAAAATTAGCATACTTTTTGCGCAACCACGTTCCCAGGGCCTTTTTTGAAAATGCGTTTGCGGTGTTAATGCGTATCTTTTGTTTCAGTTTCTGAGCCACGACACAGACCTAACCATCACCTTGCCTAGATTTGAATTTCAGGAAACTTTTAATGATGTATGGCTACCAATATCTGTACCCAAGGTAAGTATATGTGAGCACAATCACACGCTTATTTTTAAACGATTTCAATAAAAAGCAATCGAGTCAAATATTTTTTACCCTCTTCCTTCGCTGTTCTAGGGAGACGTGTACTTTGATCTTGGCGATTCAGATTCGTCATATTTACCATTTCTTAGATCTGTATATAACAGGTAACGTGGTCTAAATTATTACTAAGTTCAAAATGAGATGAAATGTTTTGGGTCAGAAATGGAGGAAAGGACAAATTTTGATAGTGTTGTTTACATCGTTGCCAGGGGCCGCGGAGTCGTGGGGAGGGGGGAAGGCAAAGGGTCATGCCCCCCTCCCCACCTTTTTTAAAGTGAAAAAAGTGCCCTTTTTCTGGCCTAAAGTGCCCCCTTTAAAGAACGCAAAAGTATTTAAACGCCCTCTTTTGCTGAAAAGAAAGTGCCCTTTTTGCAGTAGTAAAGACTACTCTATAAAAGCCATTCCCAACGTTATGGAGACTCCATATTTTCAAAAATTTAATGCTTCCTTTTAATGCTTCCTACGTCCATGGACACGCCCTCTGTGTCCTTTCATACTATCCAAATTCAATTATTTACACATTCTCCTTCCGCACCCAAAACAATGTTGGACGTACTTGAATTGGTTTAAAACTGTGTTCCAAGAGAAGTTTTTCTAACTTTGCAATAACATTACGAAAGTTTGTCCAACAATTCGTAGTGTCGCGTGGTGATATAGGGAGCTTGAAATGCAACAAATCTGAAACGCTGACGTGACTAAAAAACTGTCGCTAATAATGTGACATTTGTTTTACTTTGTTTTTCTCGTGTCCTTGGCTTTGTTTACCAACAACAATCCGTACTTTTCACCCGTGAAATGAAACTGTGATAATAGCCACAGTTTTTCGTCACGTCCGAGTCGTAGATTTGGTGTATCTTAAGGCCATTTTCCATTGCAGTCGCTTTGCCCGCGCGGGCAAAGCGACTGCAATGGAAAATGGCCTTTAAGTCCTTTAAGCTCGTTGAGAAAACTCTCATGCGAATAGTTGCGCTACTCAACTCTCATGAGTCTCGTCAACTCTAATTTCTTTTGAATGTTGTTCAGTCTTACGTAGCGTGTTGTCTGTGTTCAAATAATTATATCGAGGATACGCATGTGTAGAGCATATGCTTCCGTTATTCTTCAAAAAATATGGTCTACAACTTAGAATATAAATACTTCTGATGTTACAGATGCACAGGACGTGAAGCAGGTGTTCCACGAGAACAGATCAATCTTATTTCATCATACATTGATGGTAATATGGTTTATGGCAGCAATGTCAAAAGAAACAAACTACTCAGAACACTCTCACAAGGGAAAATGAAAGTGTGGGAACATGAAATGCTGCCTGTATGTTGAACATTACAATCCATTCCTATCATTATTTTTTTCAGCTGGTGGATCACTTCTTGTCAAATGGCATACTTATACATAATATCTTTTCCAGCTACAAAATCATTTAGCTTCTAATACTGTTGTGAAATAAGTTACATGCACGTGCATGTGTCAATCAACCAATAACTATGCTGTAACAAGGTTGTTGTCTAGCTGATATATCACGATGTGTTCGCTAACAGTTCGCATTACTTGATCCCATTGTTGTGACATGTCTGGAACAAGTTGTTATCATCTTGTTACAAAGTAGATGACGGCAACAGACTTGTTATAAGTTGTTCCAACAAGCTATGAGCTTGCATGTTGTCATCAATTTGTTAACAAATTGTTACGTGCAGACGATATCAGACTGGGAACAAGCAGTGCGAACACATCTTGTTGACAGCTGACAAGCTGTGAGATTTTTATGTACACAGTGTATGTATGCGAGACGATTGCTTCCAGTTTGCTCCTAGCAAAGTAGATCGTAGAATTTCTCCGCGGTACTCCGGTAATGGATGACCTCAGTCTATAGGGGGAATAGGTATCTCCTAATCTCCTTAGACATTCAGTATAGGAGCCATCTCATACTTGCCCAGTGTTCCTACAGGAAGAGAACGGACTACCGGAATACCGGAAGAATACCTGCGATGGTGTTTGAATCAAACTGAAAACATTTTTCTCAAAAATCTTTATTGAAGAATGCCTGAATCACCTCACTGTGTTTTCATACGACTGAAGCAAAATTTTACAGTAATCAGGTGGCAACCGTATATTGCAGATTGATTTTTCTGGCTTGTTTATTGCGGGCAAAGTTTTAAGAAACCCATATTCTTCTTTCAAACAGTTAAATGAATTCGGTGTGGCGAACGGAAACGATGTTGGTCGTGCGACTAAACGTTTATTTCTGGCCGGAGATACTCGTGCAAACATACAGCCGGGACTCACTGCTATACATACTGTCTTTGTTCGTGAACACAATAGAATTTGTGATGAATATCTTAAAGACAAGCCAAACGTAAGTATGCTTAACTGATTGCATATATTCGTTAATAATTCGTCGTTCAAAATTTACTAGTCAACCAATTACATCGGATGATGTCCGTAATACTCCGTATTGGTGAAGTTCATACTGTTCAGAGACCAGCACATTGATGTCAGTTGACTTCACTAACAGTTTTAAGTATTCAATAACAAAAACCAGGCTTATTGTGTGGACTAGACTTGGTTCAAGTTCAACCCCTTGTGAGAAGGACTTGAACCAAGTCAATGAGTGGACACTCGGCCAATAATTATACTGCTTAGATTTGTTACTGTATATAATTCGCTTACTGATTGCAGTGATAAAAACAGTTTTTTCTAAGTTTATTGGATGGACTACGGTGTTTTCGTATGTATACTGTTATTACTGTAGGCCTAGATTTGCAAACATCTTTCTTTCCTTCCCTATGGTTGTAAGTAGGAAATAAGAACTATGTTCAATATCGAAGCCTCCTCGCATATACTAGACAAAATCCTACCAGGCAACTGCATTACGGACAAGAGACGGAGGTTACTGTATATCAGGTACATGTGACACCGGCTGTTTTCTGCTTAGGCAAGTGATGAAGAAGTGTTTCAGTATGCGAGAAAGATCGTGATCGCAGAACTTCAAGCTATAACATTCCGAGAGTACTTGCCGTCGCTGCTGGGCGGCTCAGAAGATATCCCACAGTACAGAAGTTATAATGATAGGGTCGACGCCACGACTGATCACATATTGACTACGGCAGCGTTCAGGTAAAATGTTTATACTTAACAGTTTTTCTACGAACTCGAGTCGAATATAAGCTGATAGCCGATGAGGCGCGTAGCGCCGAATCGGCTATCGCTCATATTCAACGAGAGTGAGTGGAATAACTGTTTTATTATATACACAAGGTCTGAATTCACAGACTTTGCATTTCGGATATTTTCAATATTTTTCTATTTTGTTTATGTTTTTATCTTCGCTCTTTCGGCCGAGTATTTTTTCAAAAATATGTATTTTTAACCATTTTAAATTTTAAAAATTCATTTGCTAACCTGTAAACAATTTGTGGGAATTTTTTCGTTGTGTTTTTAATCCTGTAAAGGCTATAAAAAGCGAACAACTTGCCGTTTTCTCGTTCGCAAGATGTTGGAAATTCAGTTTGAGCCGCCATTTTGTTTTTCTCTACTAGCAGGATATGAGCTAATATCCTGCTAGTAGAGAACCAATCAGATTGCAGAATACCTCATATCCGGACCTTGTGTATATAATAATCAGTCATTTAGAACGGTCTGAACCAGTGTATAGGTAGTGCTAATGATAAGAAAGCTGGATAAGGATACGACTAACTGAAAACAAGAAGGAGAACGTCGACGTTTCGTGCGAAGGCCCTTCGTTGGGAAGTTAGTAGCTGGGCTATAAACTTCCCGATGAAGGGCCTTCGCTCGAAACGTCGAAGTTCTCCTTTTTTTCAGTTAGTCGAATCCTTACTTAATTACTTGAATCCTTGCTTCCTTACTCTCATATAGGCCTTCTAGAAACAGCGTTACCCAAGTAACAGGGTTACCTTGGCCAATTACAGTATGTTTGCGCGTTGTGCCGATCTATGAAATGCGCATCATGTAATAACGGCTTATTGACCGAGCGTGAGGTCTATACTGTGAAATATCAGACCGAGGTTTTTTAGTATGGACCGAGCGACGAAGGAGCGAGGTCCATGCAAAAAACAGAGGTCTTATATTTCACAGTACAGACCGAACAAGCGAGGTCAATAATCGGTTTATTATATGGCTGAACTGAATCTGTGAGGATATGCTTTTCGCGCGAATTAAATCGGCTATCGTCAGTTTCAATGGGTAACAATATATGGTAGGCATGCATGCTCAATCAAAAACAATTTGGTTGTTTGAATTTTTTATCTGTAAAGCACAGTTGGAAATTTAAAAAGCAAAAATTTTTTCTGTTTGCAAAGCAAAAATTTCCCGCCAGATAAACGACATCCGGGACACCGGTCCAGATACGGAAAATACGGACCACGATCCGGATATGGCTTTTTACGGACCGCTTGTCAACCAATCAGAATAGAGAATTTTGAAAAGCCATATAATAATAAAGGGTTATTAACCGAGAGCGAGGTCTGTACGGGAAAGTATTTGCATGAGGTTTTCGTACAGACCGAGCGACGAAGGAGCGAGGTCTGTGAGGATAAACCGAAGGTTAAAAATATTCAAAATTCATGTTATTTGCATGCATGCGTAATAAACAAAAGGAAACTAATTAATGAGGAACTACTACTTGAGTATCGACAGATGCATATTCCTCATAATTATTTTCCTTTTGTCTTACGCGTCACGAGTGACGAAAAACATACAAAAGTGCATAATAAACCATTTATTATATGGCTCCTTAAACACATTTTCTGATTTTCATATATTTGTTTGAGCGCTATAAAGGTATTTTTGAGCTATGTTTTATTTGCTAATTTTCTTCGTTTAGATTTGGTTTCGTCACCGAATATTGTTTACGGAAAAGCATGTTTAACAATCGCTTTAGAACTACTTTTTCGGTACCCCCACCCCCAGAAAAAATGCTTATAAACCCAGTTTATATGATATTTGTTTAGAATATGGTATTAAAGACGTTAAATTCATCTTTATTTATTTTTTGAAACCAGTAAACAAATCAAAAAATTTTCCCGCCAAAACTTACGGTTGCCAGTAAGAGTTCAAACGGCTTGTTTTCTTGCTTTTTTGGTGAAATTTGTGTTGGTACATGTACTTATTTATATTTCCAAGACTTCTTATTCTTAGAAATGATCCAAGGATACTTTTTCTTCATATAACGACCTTATAAACGTGTAAAAACGTTCCAAATTCGAGCCTGTCAAATTAACATACGGGAAACCGGTCCGGATACGGGAAAATACGGACCACGGTCCGGATACGCATTTTTTTACGGACCGCACGTCGACCAATCAGAATTCAGGTGCTTTCTGCCCATACATCTATGTATCGGCCTCTATTACAACCTTAAGATGCATTACTGTTCCCAGTCTTTACCCGTTTCAATAAAACTAATTTATCCTCGATGTTGTGAAAGGCTGTCGTTTGCTTGGATGTTATAAAAGGATATTCCTATAGCGAAGTGTTGAAGGGGTTTTCACGAAAAATACAAGTATATGCCCCCCAGCAGGAATTCAACCTGCGGACTTGCAATTTTGGTGCATGCTCTGACCACTGAGCTACAATGTCTAATCGCCGAGAGCTAGCCAGTGGAATGTGTATGGTAATATTCACGATGTTTGATGACCACACACTGGTGTTGCGATACTTTTATTTCCTGGTTTTCCCACCTTTGAAAACATGCATGGCTAGGACTTATGTTTCTGTTTCGTGGGTTTAGAAACTTGTAACTAATTTCCATTTTTCACATGTTAGATTTGGTCATAGTCAAATAAACACTATATTCTGGCGTCTGGACGAACATAACAAGACCATCTCTGAAGGTCATTTGCCAATGCGAGATGCGTATTTCGCACCAGAAAGAATTATTGAAGAAGGGGGAATCGATCCGATAATACGAGGATCATTTGCTCAACCTGCCCAGCAGGTTGATACTAAGGTATAAAACTACTCTCTTTTGTTTTCAATTTGCCGACACGTTAAAATGGTTGAGATTGGGTACTAGTAAATATGGTTTGCGCGCATGGGTGGCGCAAGAGGAAGGGGGGGGGGGGGGGGGGTTACTGCTCCCCAGTCGAACTGCAGTTTCTATTCAATCAGTTATTAAGGGAAGACCATTAAAAAAGTGATGAGGGAAGGGTATTTTCAGCTTGCACGACTTTTTTTTCTATTTGTCTTTACGATAAACCATTAATTTATTTTGACTAGATGGTTGATGATGTTAGGGACTTTTTGTTCGCATTCAACCGCCGTGGTCAGGATCTGACTTCTATCAACATTCAGCGTGGCAGAGATCACGGCTTGCCTGATCTGAATACAGTCCGAGAAAGCATTGGTTTGCCAAGTAAGAATTTTAGGATTTTTAAAGTCTCTACTAGTCTAGGCATATTTACATTAGAATACGCCCTTCCAAGGTTAAGGACGCCATTTTGAATCTATTGTGTTTTCACCATTGTGTTT